CCCGGTCGGGTCTCGCAGAAAGAAAGCAAAGGAAAATGTAATCGAAACGAGGGTTAGGGAGGGTGGGAGAAGAAAATTTTTGATAACGAACTTGAGCCAAATGGCAACGGATAAATAAACAAGTTCGCATTCAATCGGATACAGCAGATCCACTCATGATCCGATCGGTGATTCGGTGAAAGCATAAAGTTGTCACTTCGCACACAAGCGTGCTACACTCCAAAAAACGGAAGCCCAAAGGTGCGTGTTAAATTTCGAGCGCGACGCCTCCTACTACTGCACTACTACTACCACTACTACTACCACTACCACCAGCACCACGACTACTACTCCTCCTCCTCCTACTCTCCCACTCCTGCTCCGACTACGGCTGCGACTACAACAACGACTACCACGACGACGAGTGGGCAAACTACGACGACTACGACGGCTACGACGACGACCACGTCGAATGCCCCTACCACTACTGCTACCACTGGCACTAGCACTAGCGCCAGCCACCAGCGCAAGCACTACCACCAATATCATTCCTGCGACGACGACGACGACGACGACGACGACGACGACGACGACGACGACTGCTACCACCACTACCATCGTCATCACTGTACCAATAGTAACACAAAAAGTGTTAGAGAAGAAGGATGACAAGAGTCCCCGAAAAACATAGGACCGGAGTTCCCCAACCTTCCACTTCTCTTGGCAAGACGCGGAAGGTCGTCGTCCAAGAAGTTCTTGGTCAGGTTCCTTGGATAGCTGTGGCTTGTGCCCGGCAAACCTGTCGTCTGAAGCCCCTGCGAAAGGTGTTTTCGGGGTCCCTACAGCGTCGCAATGAGTACCACAAGTTTGCAGAACAGGTGGCGAGAACTTCTTCTCCTTGGGCCCATAGTAGGTGTAGACCTGGGAGGTGCCGCATCTTTTCCATGTCTGGCTGGGCGTGCTCGACTGCAGAGCGAGCAGCTTGCAAGTGAGAGTGGATGGATTCGAGATTGGATTCGAGATACCAGCCCCAACCGAACGACCCAGTCACTCCGTCTAAGGACCCTTGCCCGCAGACTTGCGAGGGATTTGAGCGTTTTGTCGTGGTGCCGGGGCACATGTACAGGGCCTGTACCAGGCTTGGGCTCGACAAAGCCCGAAGACCCTTCCACCTGGAGCCGAGTTGCAGATCCCGTTCCACCAACGGCACTGATGCCGCCTGCGGGGCAGGTCTTTGCGCGAGAGTTCCTAGTCAGATCCAATGAAAGCAAAGAGCCCTTTAGCCCCCAAGGCTCTGAAGCTGCGCTTCCACGCCACACTTCCCTGCCTTCCTTGGGCTTCTTGTGGATAATGCCGACGAGCGCATCGCTCACCTGGGACACAGGATTGGGCTCCTCTGGTGCTTGGGGAGTCGACGGCCGCCTGCCCTGCGAACACAGCACCCTGCGTTGCCCTCTGAACTGCCCGTCTGCCCGAGAGAGCGGCCATGTTGTAGCGAAGCTCTCCTTCCACGATGCGGGGGCAGAAGCCTCGGAGCGGGCGGAGCGGTCCGGGCGGGTCCGGGGAGCGACACGTCAGCCGCTCGCGGGAAAGAGCCCAAAGCTCGAAACCCAAACCGCCGACGCTTTGGGCTTGGCCCTTGGAAGCTGAGCGGCGCTGGTCCACAAGCTGGCCGCCAGCCTCCTTGCCGCCCTCCAAATACCTTGCCGAGTTGGGGCCTCTGGGCCTAGGCCTCCTACAGCTCACAGCCAAACTCAAGAAAGGAAAGAATGTCGGAGGACGGAGGCTTCAGCCAGAGAACCAGCACTCACCCCCGAAGGCTCGCCGAAGGCTCGCGGAAGGCTCGCGGAAGGCTCAGGCCGCCGAGGCACTTTCCGACGCCCTTGGAGGTCCAAGTGCCACTCTTGCTGGTGCGGCCACTGACGCAAAACTCGATGAACTCAGCCACAGTGTGCCTGGGCGGTGTCAAGCTGAGCCTGTTTGCTTCGACCCCTGCACCAAAATACAAACCGACGCCCAAGAGCTTGAACCCTAAATGCTCGCTCTCGCTCTCTCTCTGTCCAACCTTGTTCACCACTCCCTCCAGGCTTCATATTTTCTCTCCGCTCTGTGCAATTGTCCAGCCGCCTTTTGTTCTCCGTCTCTCGGCGAAGGCTCCCGTTGAAAAACCCGAACCGCCTAAGCCCAAAAAGGCCTTGCGGGACTCTCAGACTCTGCCCGGGCACTCCTCCGAGTGGTTGTCGTTGGCCTGCATGGGACGACGGTTCAAGCTTGGAGCACCGAGTTGACACAGGCGATGTTTGACAGAGCGCTCGGATCTTGCAAGCGATTGTCCCATTGTCATGAATCGGTGCGTATGGAAGTTGAATAATAAGGTTGCGTGTTGTGATTGAAAACAACATGCATGCGCATTTGGATCTACAGTTCACTAGCACCGCATCGAATCACAACGCACAGCACGTTGCTACTACCATGGCGCGACCTTGGAGCCTTCCTGTCCAAACACGATTCCTCGGCGTGTCTCCTGGAGTTTATCTCCTGAAGCCCCAAAATCAAAAAATCAAAACCAGACCCGGCTCTCTGCGTGCGCGGATCCTGGAATGCGCCTTCTCTGTGCTTTCATAGAAAACACCGGACATCCAAAGCCGGTGCCAAGAGGTCGTCCGAGGGGCCTCCATGAGATCCAGGACCTCGTCATCCGTGCAGGAGCGCTCGCCGTACGTCTTGCCTCGGGCGTCGCGTCTCTGCGTTCATTCCTCCTTGCTCCCGGTGACTTTTGGGAACTGACAGTTGGAAACCTTTGAGAGTCTCGACATTGCGTGACGTTGCATGACATCACAACATGTCAGCAAGACCAGGTGCAATAGTTGCCAGACTTCAGCTTGATGATCCAAATGCCCTCTCCGGAGGACCCGCGATTCCTGGAGGCATCCGGCTGGTGCCCTCTTTCCGGGGGGCTTGACAGAGGATCCCTCCTACGTCACGCCTCAAGCGGACGCGTGCACCTCAGAACCTCTCTCCCAACATCCCAGTCCTGCTAGCCCCAAATTGACACAAACAAGAGCGCCGTCTACGCCGTGAGAGACGGCTTTTGTTCTAGGCAAAAGGGCCCGAGGGCCCGTCTCCAGAAGGACCCGCCCCGAGGAGAGATCCGAGGCGCTGCTTGATGACGCGCGGCTGGAAAGCCATGGTCTTCTTGAAACCTTCCAAAACAACCAACTCTCTCGCATATTTGAGGCCTTTGAGAAAATCGGCCCGTTTCTTGTCGTTTCCAAGAGAGGCGCTGGGCGCGAGTTCGGGCCTCTCTCTGCGTTTTGGGAGCTCTTAGCCTTGGCCGCAACTTTGGAGACAACAGGGAGGTGACGGAGGTGACGGAGGTGACGGAGATGCCCCTGCTCGCACTCGCACGGCCTGTAGCGAAGTCCGCGGGGTCGTAGTAGGCAAGGGTGTCCTGTCAGGCCCGGGTCCGGAACATCCAGAGGCTCCCAAACCTCCGGCGGCAACGGCCAAGGCAAAATTGAGGACTTCAAGGGTCCTCAAGCCCGATCTTCAGAGTCGCAATCTTGCAGAGCGCATCCTGCGGCTTAGGGCCTAGGGGCTGAAGTAGAAAGCTTCGGGGTGCGGTCGGTCGAGGGCTCTTAGCCAGCATTCGGCCGCGTTTGCCCATCCTTTGCACCCATGAACTCCATGACATCCGGGGCTGGCCAGACCTGCATTGAGACCGCAAGGGGTGTAGAGGCTGGAGGCTCCAATGCTTCGCGACCAGCCAACGCCCTGATCAGTCTTATGTCGGCTCTAGAATCCTAGAACACCCAGCCCGTCCTGCAAAGCCCTGAGTGCCCTGAGCCCTTAGCCACCGAACCTAATCTAGTGGGGCCTGGACGTCCCGGCTTCACTGTGACTGAGCGAATCTTCCGGGTGCATGAACTGTTGCTGACTTAAAAACTGCCGATGTTAAGACGTCTTATTCAAAGCAGGGCGTGAATACAGCCAGCTTGCAGCTCACTTTCGTCCGCACTTTCCCCGAGTCCTGCCCTCAGCATTCTGCAATTTCCTCCAAAACCCCGGCAGGACTTCTTCAGGGACGAAACCGGGCCCTGTCACCTGGATGTCCAGCTTGCGCAACGCACGCATGCCGTTGTCGAATTTTCCCTGGTCTCCTGAACCACAGCATAAAGCTAATGCTCGCCTTGAACGTTTACGGCTTGCACTGAAGTCTTTTGAGTGTCGGGACTACCTCCGCAGCTGCAGTAGCAAGAAGCTTGATCTGCCTACTAGCCCCCGACGCAAGCAGGCTGCGACCACCCTCCCCCTTTATCCCGCTTCGCACCTCCATCGGCCTTGATCTGACCAGGGTTGCACCGCACGATGATTGCATCGAAGGCCTTGCACACGTCGAAGAAGGTGTCGTGCTCCTGATGCATCTGCTGACTCCAGGCGCCAAGCATCTGGTCTCATGAGCCCGAAGCCTGTAAGCATGTCAATGCTCAGGACTGTAAACCTTCTACCCGGAAACGCTTCTTGATTATCATGGAGAGCTCCTCGTGGACATAATGGATGAGCTGGCAGCTGTTGCCAGCGCTGATCATGCCATTGGCAAAAGGGATGCTGTCATAACCTGAGAGTACGGGGCAGCCAAGCCCAAACGACACAAAGCAGCACCGTCAAAGCCAAGAAGTAACCTTGGAGCTCAGAAGCCCCACCTTTGATTGATCCCAGGTCACAGACAAGGATTTTTTTTCAGAGGAAGTCTCCGGTTGGAGTGGGTCGGAAGTGTGCAAGACTCCCTGAACCCATTTTCTGAACGAGTCCGGGTCCATGGCGGTGGCCATTGGAGCTCTTGTCGCTGCCTGCCCACGGGCACATGCAGCCCTTCATCTGGTAGCTCCCAGAGTCCCCTACGCCCTACACGTGGCATTTCAGAGACCCCCCGAAGCCGATGGCAACTTCAATATCTCCAAGATGTTTTTTATTTCCATGCACGCTGTCCGCTTCAGGATTGTCAAGATTCCCAGGTTCTGGCGAGTCAAAGAGCCGGAGCCGCTCATGCTACTTCCTCTGGGACAGTTCGGACAGGTCTGGCAACCCACTGCCGTGCCTCCGAACGGCTGAGAGCGAACGTAGATGCCAACGAGAGCTGTCCTGAACCTGGCCGTGTCGCTCTGCCCCGTAGAAACTAGACCCACTAGCCGACCCCGGGACTCCCCGCCCGCAGTCAATGAGGCATGCGGAACACAGGAGCCTTTACACAAAGAGGCACAAAAAGGAACTAGCTTCCGACGGGCCCCTTCTGCCTGGGTTTCAGCGGCTGTGGCAGCATGCCGAGGTCGTCCTTGGACCTCGCAGCGTCCGGGTTTCGGAGGTTTCGGCACCCATCTGAGATGAAACCTCGTCGAGATTTCGGAGTCCATTGGGCTTAGCGCCCGGAGGGCCGTGCTAAGGCAAAGAATCTCTGAAGGAAGCTGGGTGTCGCACACCTTGGTCAGCGCCGACACATTGATGGGTTTGCCCTCGGCATCCGCCGAAAGAGACATGTCGAGGGACCCAGGGAGGAGATTGCAAATGGGTGCGGTGCACATCTGTAGAATCTGAACATGCTCAAGTAGGCAATCTATGCCGAATCCATGCCTTCATGACATGACGAGAGCTCTTGAAGCGACCTGCCCTCAGGCGCGAACGGAGCGGAACTGCCTCGGCGACCCACTACGCTCCGTCACGGCCGCAAAAGGGTCTTTTCCGGTCTCTCCTCTTCTCCGCTCTTTGCTCCAAAGATGAATGCCTCCCCCCCTGCAGTGGTCCTTAGCGCGTTCTGGGCGGTCCGACCCGGCAGTGGCCGGCTTGCCCAGCGCGGGCTTCGCCGGGGGCTCGGCCTCTTGGCGGCAGAGCAAAGAGCAGAGTGTCAGAGGCCCTCCAAAGGGGAGCGGAAGCTGGAACATGCTGGAACTCCTCCGGCCTTGGCTTTCGCCTTGGCCTTTGCCGTGGCTTTCGCCTTCGCTTTTGGCTCGGGCGCAGCCTTTCCCTGGCGAGAGGTGGCCAAGAGCACAGATCTCTGTTACAGCCCTGCAGGACCTGCAGAAGACTTGAGACAAAAACTCCCCAAAGAAAAAGGTACCGTCGTCTACAAAAACATCGGATCTACGGACCCCCCCGGCCCCGAGGACGCAACCGGCTCGGCCTTGGACTTGGCTGTCGCCTTCGCCTTTGCCTTCGCCTTGGGCTCTGGCTCCTGCCAAGCGAAAAGAGAACAGACAGAAACCCAAAAAACCCCGAGGCTCCCAAACCCAAAGCTCCCAACGAAGCTCCTTTGCGGCCTTTCCCTTCCTCTTTACCTCTGACAATTCCAGGCTCAGGGTTCAACGTCTGGGTTTGCATTGCACGTGCGACGCACTAGCCGGGACTGGAAAGGGAAGGGACTGAAGACAAGGACGGAAGGCCGCTGAATCACGTCCATGGCGGAGACTGAAGAGGAACCCCTTCCGAAAAAACGTTTCTGTGGCCCTAGCAGCTGGAGCGCCTGAATCCGAGCCTCTACAGTTTCAGCGCCTAAAAATCCTGAACCGCAACATGCTTGTACATCTCCTGCACATTGCAAATCAAATCGACTATCCCGTAGTATTTCAGAGGCTCCTGGATCAACGCGACAGAACACATTTACACGACAAGCCTGACGAGGCCCAGGACGTTGCCATTTGAGGGTTGTGGAAAAGGTGGCAGTGCTGATGCTGAGGCTCGGGCACGCTCTCACAGAAAAATCCCAGGTCTCAACATCCTAAACAATCGAAGCACACTGACACTTTCCTGCAGAAGCCATGCGACGGTATCGGAATTGTCGGCAGGCCTCACAGAAACCCCAGAAACCGCCAGAATCCCCCCACGAGCCGGCTTGTTGGCCAGGCCACGGGCTTGCACTCTTCCCAATACGCGTTGATTGCTGCCTTCTTGTACTTACCTGCACCGACACACACACACACACACACCCCTTCTGAGGCTCACAGAGCCGCCAGTAAGGAGGGGAAAGGGAAGGAGAGGAGAGCAGGAGCTAGAGCTGATCGAAAGAGAGTGGCTGCATGAGCACTGATGGCCAGCACCACGGCCTTTGTAGTACTCTGCAAGTGCTTCAAAGGTGTATGCCACGCCGTCCTGGAAGGTTTGGGCGAGATGCTCTGGAAGCGGTGTTCAGCTTGGCTCCGCTCCGAAGTGCACTGCTGGAAACTCTCGATACACTCACAGCGTGAAATGCCTCGGGGTCAATGCGCTTCTCAGCAGCTGGCATGGTGCCTGAGCCAGAGATTGGAAAGTCCGCGCTGCTGGGGGGTTGTTAGGTGAAGCATGCAGAGCACAAGAAGATGAGTGCTGGCTTCAGCATGGCCATGGCTTTCCTCCGACCTCGGAACCTCTTCGGCTCGAACCTTAAATCCCCCCCGGAAAAAACGAGGTGCGTGCTAACTGCGGCGTCGAGAGCCTGGCTGCAGGGGATCAAAGGCTGCGAGATAGTCCGGATGTTTTCGCATAGTGGCTTGAACTATGTGTAGACACAAGATTACTCAACTGCCTCTTGAGGCGGGTGCACTTACGAGTTGAAGCTCCACTAAAGGCTCGGGGTTCGAGTCTGCATGCGTCTCCTCTTGCATTCCGCGAGCAAGTTGAGACATTTCTCTGCACAGCATGTGAGTCATCCGCCATGCCGGCAAGTCCGTACTCCCCTCCCCCATCGATAAGCCTGCTACCCCAGACCTGAAAGGTTCACAACGCGTCGAAACCCAAGGAGCCCCGGAAAGACCAAAGTCCCGCCGGAGCGGCGCAGGAAAAAGGATGCACGGAGTGTGCGGAGTTGGGACGGAGCCTGCAGCCAGGCGGATGGAACCCTGAAGAAAGACAACCAATTCAAAAACGCAAGCAACAGCAATAAAGACAAAAACAAAAACGCTAACATGCATAGCCACCATGTTAGAGTAGCTGTAGCGAGAAAAACACAATCTCTATACGTGTAACTCTATACTGAAAGTTTCAAAAGCAACTACGTGTTGTCTTCGTTTTCGTTGCTGCTGTTGTTGTTGCTGCTGCTGCTGCTGCTGCTGCTGCTGCTGCTGCGGCTGCTGCTGTGGCTGCTGGTTGTTGTGGAGGAAGAGCAACAACAACAAATCATGACACGAAGAACGATTGTGACAGTACTTGTACTGTTGCCCTGCGACGACCTCGAGCGATCGACATTGGAATTCGCAAGTGGAAACACTAGCAAAACTAAAATGAAGCACACCTGGAAAGATCTTGAACTGTCGACCGGCATGGTCGAGCATGCTTCCCCAGATTGGACACCTGAGCCCTCCAAGCCTCGAGGAGGTAGGCAAGTACGCCTCAGGTGAAAGGGACAACGCTTCTGAAAACTGGAGAAGCTCAATTTCAAAGGCGCTTTTAGCTGTTCTTGTCTGGTTCCATTTACCTGTTATGGGGGGAGAATTTGGGTGTGCGCTCTCGCCAGCCTTTCGCCTTTGTGTTCTGGGCTTGCTTCTGTCGCACGTATGCCGCATGCTTACCTGTCCACTCCATGTTCTGTGCGGTCGGGGCGGTCGGACCCCATCTGCTTGCCTTTTCTTGTGATAACAGTGATAGCTGGCGAATCGTTCCAGATCTTCCTGTGTCCCGTAATGCGTTAAGTCCCACTGTGCTCTGGCAGAATGTCCGAAGCTCCTGATTGCGCAGCCTAGCACTGGGAGAACCATCCAAAACACCAAAGGATACGAAAGTTGGCTTCGTCGCGACTGCCTTCTTGCAAGAGCGATGAACAGTGCACCTTCCGAGAAGTTGTCTTCGCTACTTCTAAAGCCTCCAATTCTCGTCCCAGCTGCGAAGTGCAGCACTCGCAGCGCTCGTGGGGAAGCACGGCAAGCTCGCAAGCAGAAGGTTCAAGCCAAGGAAGCTGCGAAGGTTAGAGGCACGGCGTCATGCAAGGGGGGACCGCACGTTCTAACCCAGTACCGGCTCGAAGATGCCGACAACGCACAGATCATTTGTCCTTTTGAACCGCCGGATGACTTCGGCGGGCCAGGGCTTTTTACACGAAGCTTCATGAGATTCTTGAAAGCCTTGCAAAGCCACAAAGCCACCACATGTGTTACCCGGTCAACAGTCTGCGTGGTGAAAGCTGGATGTCCGAACCGAAAAGCCCAATGTACGTAGAGGGTCTTCGTAGAGTCTCAATGCTCGTTCCACTAGGCCGCACCCTGGGATTTTGTACAGCGGCAAGTGAGACGCGGTGCAGCCGTGCGTGGAGGCCCAATACAGAGGGAAGGGAGATGTCGAGAACGTGCTTTCTTCACGAAGTTCTTGTAAGCCCCCCACGCTTCGGGAAGGCACCCCCAGCTCTTCCCGAGAGGCCCGAGAGGCCCGAGAGCCCACGCTCCCGTCGCGACACACAGGCGAGCAAGGGCCCGAGCTGGGATCTGCGGAAGGAAGACACATCCAGAAACCTTCAACTCTCTTAAACTCTCCAACCATTGCCACACCACCGACCCTGAAACCCCACCTGTCATGCCATTCTCTTGAAGCCGGGATAAAAGCCCACATCGAAACACGGAAATTGGGCCAACGAACCGAGCTGCGCCAGAAACCCTCGGACCGAACCTGCTACTCAACTTCGACTCCGCAACGAAGACTCTGCAGATCTCTGCACTGCTAGTCTAGTCTGGGCCAGACGCGTTGCCCCCGGACCGGGCCTGTGAAACGAAGCTTAAACTTAGATGCGCTCCCCGGACCCAAAAACCCGGAGCACACCATTGCTTCGGTTTTGTTTGGCCAGCTGATCCAGGGTCAAAGGCTGATGACAGTAGCCTGGAAACGGAATATCAATTTCAAGAGGCTCCTTGTCACTGAATTTTGACCCTGGGTCCACTCACTCCAGACGCGGCGGCCTCCCAGCAGTGGTTGCTGGTTGCCGGCGCCTCGCGAACGAAGCCCCCTGAATCTTTTGAGCACCGTATCTGTTTCTCTGCGTATGTGTTGTCCAGGGTTGAGAGTGCCAAGGGGTTCAGGAGCGGTTTCTCTGAATGCAGTGGTTTCGCGCTTCTTGGCGTCGCCGACATAACGACGTCGTGTCTCTTTCTTTCCAGCAGCTGCTTGTTGTGCGGCGGTTTGTTGCTGCTGGTTTTGAAAATAAAGCATGTTGCTGTACTCCAGATATGACTCCAGCTCAGGAAAAACGAACAGGCTACGGAGATCATACTGCTGCAACTATGCTCACCCAGATTAGATATGGGTATAACAGCCAGAGATAGCCTCACCCGCTCCCTTCTTGTGGTTGCTTCTACAAGGTCTGAAGTGAACAAATTGGCTGCACCCTGGAGCACGAGACGGGATCCCGAACCCCAATACGTTACCCCACGGTGGCCTTTCCAGGAGTCATCTCACGACTTGTGCCTGACAAAAAACAAAAAGAAGACGAAGCATGCCATCTATGCGGCGCGCCCAGAAACATGCTGCAGTTCTATAACTTTCGAAAAGGCAAGCAAACTTCCTTTGGTAAATGTGTAAGCTAGAACGGCATACTGTGTAGTAGATGTACATACCAACATGCTCATGTGCTGCTGTCATGTGATTCTACTACCATGCCACACTAGAAGACGCTGACAAACTCACAGAGGCATGCACGAGAATGCTGCAAAACGGCGGCAGACCCGAAGGACGGTCTTTCCAGAAGAAGAGCCGATACCCCACAGTAACTACCCTTTGTACATGTTGTCAGCATCGTAGACTCGCAGGACTGACGGCAATATTGTAAATTGGCAGACTTGCGGAGTCGTGGGCTCCATGCTCCATGTTTTTGGATTTGGGATTGAGGCCTCAAAGCCCCGGAGCTCAGAGATGTCAGAATCAGGCCTACTTGGACTACTTGGACGAAGGAGGGTGAGGAAGAATATGAAAGAGCTGGGATCTTGTGAGGTGTCCCAGGCCGCTCCCGGCGCGCCGTGGCATCGAAGTTGCCGTCCTTCCCGAGAGCGGCCTGCGGTATCGCCGTGTCTCACAAAAAAAAGCTTGGCTGCTCCGTGGCCTCGAGCTGCGCAATGCGCTGCATCAGCTCCAGGGCCACATCTGCCCACAGGCCAGGATCAAAGTGTCACCAGAGTCACCCGACAGGCTCTTAAGAACACACACAAAAAAAGGAAGGCCGGGCCGTGAAGGATTTCTTGTGTCCCGGAAGCTGCGACCGGACGCCGCAATCCTACATGCCGGCTATGCCCAAACCATCTCTGCCTTGGCCCTCGCCCGGGGAGGCGTTCGGCGCGGCTCGGGCCTGTCGCAGGGCCCCAGCAACAGAAGGCCGAAGAGCTTTCAATCCTTCTCTGCGATGCTTTCCCGGCGTAGAGGGCGCCTCCTGGAGCTGCTTCTCCAGAGCCTCCAGGCAAACCCAAGAAACAGAAACTTCTGCTTCTCCCGGCGCTTCGGCGTTTGGACGCTTTTGAGAGAGGGGCTTTAGGGCCTTGGAGGGTGCTTCTCTTTCGGTGCTCGCGGATGAAAGTTCAGGGTGATCTCCGGCAGGGGCCTTCTGTCAGCTGTTGGGTTTCAGCATGGTCCTGGGCTCAGGGTGTTCTACAGGTGCATTCTGACGGTTTCTTTTACGGAGGGATGTGGATCGCGCGAGGTTCTGGCTTTCTCCGAAACCTGGCCCCACAGGTAAGCCGTTTGTTGAAGGAGGCCGAAAACATCAGCTCCAAACCGAGAGGCCTGCACCTGAAAACCTTGAAAACACCACAAGGCCAAACCAGACCCTCGCGAACCTCGAGGCAGAGACCCAAAGTCATGCATGTCTGTATGAATGATCACGCATGTTTCTAATCGATATTGTGTTGGAGGTTTGTAGATCGCTGGATCGATGGGTAGAGTGTGGTACAGTCATGTAGCGAACATCCTTGGCCGGGGAAAACCCTCCTCGAATCGCCTCGCAGCGCTGCCTTTGCTCAGCCACCTCCTGCTGGACACCTGAAGGAGAGTAGAGCGGTCTGATGAAGGGAGGAGACCGAAGAAGGAAGGGACGAAGGAGCGGCCCGAGGGGGAAAAGTTCGGGGAGAAACGCCTTTCTCTGGGGACCGGTCTGTCCAGCTGCTGGGAGAGGCCAGAAACCAACTGCTCTGCGTCGTCCTGCAGAAAATGCTTTCTCTGCTTTGAAACTTTGAGACAGCTTGAGCCAATTGACTTTGCACCGGCGCCGACTCGGTCCAGCTGCTTCCGCAGCGTCAGGCGCTCCGAGGCTGACACCGCCTCGGTCGCAGACGCGCTGGACAGGGGATGAGCCCTGGGGCGTTTGTCGGCTCCCACTTGTGCTTCTAAGGGAACGAAGAGGGGTTTGTCGCAAACGGTCGAGCTTTGGGTCTCCCGCCTCGCGCGCCACCGCAGCCTCCAGCAGCTGCTCGGCGCGAGCCGCCCGCTCCTCCGGCGGCGAAGCGGCAAAGGGCGGCTTGAAGCCTCGGCCTCGGCCTCGGCCTCGGCCTCGCCTTGCGCCCCGGAGCTCTCCGTCTGCGCAAGCCCTGAAGCGCTCAACTCCTTTTGGAAACGGCCGTCCTCGGCCGCGCGGAGACGCTCCGTCTGCGGGGCCTCAGAGGCAGCCTCTGCCCTCTGCCGCCTATGCCGCCTCTGCCGCCAGTGCCCGTCCTCCCCTCTGTTGAGGCCAGTGCCTTGGGCGCCCCCTGGCCGCTAGCGCTCGCCGCGGACCGCGAGGCCTCCGTTCCGAAGGCGGGGGCCCTGTGAAAGTGCTGGACCCCACCTTCACGACGCGTTTCAGGACTCAACTCCTACCGACACAAGGATCCTCAACAGGCTCCGAAGCCACTACCAAGGGCTACTACACCACAATGTGTGATATCCGCTCTTCCAGCTTCGGACAGCTAAGATGAAGTGACATGCAAGGTGCTTTACACATTGACGAGCACGTGCACGCTTACATAGAGACAGAGAGAGAGAGAGGAAAAAACGGAGCAGAGCCTCGTAACCACCGGACTCGGGGCTGCGGGGTTTCGCCTTCCGCGACACCGAAAACGGGGCCCTCAAGCTTGTGGCTCCAGGGCCTCCGATCCCAGGCTCGGCTTCGTGGGTCGGGTCTTTCAGCTCCCAATCAATCTCCAGGTAGGCAATGGCTTCTCAGAGCTCTGGGTTCTAGAGGCTCTTCGAGATGTTGGGCTGATGCACAGGAACGTCTCAGTCTCGCAACTCTCATGCAAATGCAGTCGCGTCTCTGTTCTGCCACGGATTCCAGCTGCTGTTCGTCCCAAACACCGCACGGCCCATTCCGCTCAGAGCATTCAGAACGACTCCCTGACTCTCTTTCGGCCTCTCGCGTTCCCGGGCTGATAGCCTTCGCCTGTGAGCAGACGAACAACACGATCGTAGCTTGGGGCCTTGCAGTACGTGCCACCGTGCTCCTACGAAGAACCACGGGATGCAGCCATGCACGAAGCGCTGGCGAAAGTTCGGTCCACTTCGGGATGCCCCGCCGAGCCCCCAGAGCTCCCCGCCTCCTCGCCGATCGGCTGGCCGACAGGCCTTGGTGGCAACAGGAGCCCATGGCTTCATCCTCTCACGAATTGAAATAAAACTCCGACGGAACCGGCCATTGCTTGGGTCTCCCGCAATGCCGAGGGTGCCTTCGCAGGAGCCTTCGCGGGAATCGTGTGGCGATGGATGACTCATGGATGAAGAGTCAAGGTGACAAACATCTCAAAACAATGATGCTGTATGATGCTGTGATTGGGCTCCACTTTCAGGACTGAACCTGTGTTACAAAGCGGGCATATATTTATGTGTGTGTTTTATATGTATGTACATATGAAAATGTACTTACTATCCGAAGCCCTTTTTATGCATTTGCAAGTTCTTCTTCCTGACAACTTACAGTGGTGCACCGAAGCCGCGCAAAAAAACGGCCTGCCCGGCAGCTGGGGTGTCCGAAAACAGCGACTGCTCCACCTCCAGGCTCAATGCTTGGAACCCAGCTAACAACCAGCACGAGATAAAACAAAACCGTAAACCTGAGCAAAACAATCGATGATTCAATCCTTGGGGTTTGCAGCTTCTTGTGTAGAGTTTGGGGCTGGTTGACTCCTTACGTGAATTACTTTTCCTTAGTGCATCCATGAAGCGATGCTTACATATGCGGGATGCACTTTCATGCTGCACCCCGACACATCCATATAACATGTGCCAGGACTCACATGCTTTCGGCATTCACGCTTGGATACATCTTATCCCTTGTGGCATAGATTACAGGGCTGAAGTCTTCACACTGGTGTTTATGACCGTGGACAACGTGTTTCGTCAACACACATCTCTGCGAAATCACATACACGGTCACAAAACACCGCAAGCAAGCGGAACTGTGACGTCGGTTTCCTAGCTGCTGCATGGGTGGCTGGGCAATCAACATACGACCCCGCTGAAACACAGACATATGTGTGCATGCGCAAAACCTAATCACGGGTTCTTTGCTTCTGACGCGTGAGATGACCTGCACCCAAGTCCCAACGGCACCATTTTCTGCAGCAGACATGTCTGTGTATGCGAGAACACAAGCAAACATCACAAAAATCACGAGCCCTGGATTCCGTGTTTCTGAAACACACACCAATGTGAAAACACATGCACCAAAAGTCACAAGCACCCAAGTGGAACCGTGACTTCAATTTCCTTGCTTCTGCGACACATGGGTGGTCGCGTACCTGCACAACGGGAACACAATCACCTGTGTCCATGTTTGCGCGATCACTGACAACGGGTTCTGTGGATTCTGTGCTTCTGCAACGCACATAAACATATTCATGACGGGACGTGCATCCAAGTCACAGTTCACCACAACACCACCTTCCGCAATGTACATGTCTGTGTATCTCGCAACACACATCTGCGTGAAATCACGTAAACGAAAATCACACAAAGCACGGCATGCAGAATCCTTTCTTCTACAACACACGGCACGCACCAACACGGGTGCCCGATCACTTGTGTCTTTTTTTTTGGGTTCACTTGTGTCTTTTTTTTAGGGTTCGCTTGTGTCTTTTTTTCTGGGTTCGCTTGTGTCTTTTTCCTCCTTCGGAAGCAACAGTCTCGAACGAGAGGTGCGTT